ACCTAATAGCGATGGCCTCCACCTAGAAGCCTCTTGCTACTAGTAGCGTCCTTGTTCCTAGTAGCGATGGCCCCCAACCTAATAGCGATGGCCTCCACCTAGAAACACATGGTTGTTCCAACATAACATTTGAACTCCTTTACATAACAAGTGGTTGTTTGCGGACCCATCCATTTGTTCCCCGTTGGGTTTCCAGGCATGGAAGAACCTGGTCACACTTTGCAAAGGCTCGATCAAGCCACCCTTCTTGCGTGAATCAACCATTTCAAGAGTCTTTGATCGTCCCCGAACGCCGTTTTCTTCTACCTGGATGACTGGGGTCCAAAGGCCCACCCGCTTGGAGGTCTTTCTCTTCGTTTGGAAGTCCTGTGCTGCAGCTTTGATCAGGGTTCGTGGCCTTTTGCCTTGCCACACCTGATGCGGTTTGCGGCATCAACTTTGAGATTCAAGGAGCGAAGGCATCCAGTGCTCGGTCTTTTTTCGACACCGCTTCCAATAACAATTGAAACAAGAACGTTCTCCTTCCCATCACGCAACACACACACACACACATCAACGGGGTGACACCGTTCTTCTTCGTGGCCCGGGCCCCGTCGCCTCCATCTTCGCCATCGAAGCGACCGCAGGGCACTGGAAGTGTCCACGAGCCGCTGCGAGCCAAGCCAAACCGTAAAGCGTAACGGGTGCGTTGCTTTGAATACCAGGGAAACGCATCAAGTTTTGAATTGCTTGGGGACATTGGCAAGGCTGTACCCCACAGTTCTGTAGAAAGAATGGTTGCCAGCAAACTCCGGCCCCTGCGCAGTAACCACAAAGACCAGCCTTTTAAACGAAGATAAGTATGTGGAGCATTGCTTTGGTGTCACGGACATTGGGAAAGAAAGCGCACCGGAAGAAGAGGATTGGTGAGACTGAGCGACTGAGACTGGATGAGCGACCAACCCCAGTCCCACCAGAAGCATGAGGTAATCACTCGAACCATCCCATGCTAGAAGGCAACATGAAAGCTTGAGGTCTCACGTCGATTCCCTCAAGCGAACTTCCTCTTCTCTTTTTTCCGCTCGGTGAGGTGCCGACCCTGGTGTTTCTTGGAGAACACGACGTTCGGAACAAGGATGCGACGAACGGAACAAAGGGCATCCCTACTAGTAACCAAGGGCATTACTACTAGGAGCATTCTTGCTACGTTCGGAGCAAAGGGCGTTTCTTTTTGGGCACTTTCGGCGCGCAGTCCGCGCGTCTGGCGTTGCTGCGACGGTGCGAAGGGCCAGGTCTCCTAGCAAACGACTCGGCAGGATCGGCGTTCGTTTTGCACCGGTTGAGGCGTTCGCATGCGAAGTGTACTCACACTCGACATGTCAGCACGAAGTGTAAAATCTGCAAGACATAGTGTGGAGTGTGGCGGCAATCAACCAAGAAGCTACTAGTAACAAGTGCCACGCTAGTAGTAACAGGTGCCTTACTAGTAGTAACAAGAAGCTATTAATTTATTTTAGTGGAGTGTGGCGTCTGCTTCAAAGGCCACGTAGGACCGTTCGGACTCCTTCAGAGCGTCCGTGGACACAGGTGGGTCTTCTCAACCGAGACTCCTCTCGGTCTCACGGCAGCTGTTGGGTTCTTCAAACCTGGACTTTTTGACATGACGTGTCAGATATATCGGGTCAGGTAGGACACACTCTGGTTGTAAAGAGATCCCATATCTGGCTGGTCCCAAATCACCTGCTATGCAAAATGATCTGGATCAAATTGGCCCCCATGTTCGCGATTGTGGATCAGTTTTGGTCTTCCCATTGCCACTAGCGGCCCTTCCAAGCGCCGACAAAAATGGACTTCGGACCCAAAGATTGCATGGGTTACGCCAGTTTTCGCATGACCCCGCCCACATCTCCCCTTTCCCGAAGCGCACCTCAGGGTTCACAGTCCTGAAGAGGGGCGAAGAAAACGGATGTTTGGTCAGAGTCTCTGGTCCTTTGTGGAGATGCACAGTAGAACCTTGAAAGATTTCGCCAGAAAGCTTGAGTCTCTACCGCGTTGCCTCTTAGCAACTTGGAGCACACTGCTTGTGAACATGTTCTACCAGTCTATTTTCCAAGGTTCCATTCTCCCGTCGGCTTGAAGCCAATGTAGACTGACTGGCAAGTGTCCAATCTCAGCTTTGGACCAGGCAGGTGCCCAACCAGCGGGGTTTCACCGTAGCTTTGATCCTGGTCCCATCGGGTTCCCCAGCTGGGCGGCCCCTGGCCAGCAAGTTCAAGCGTATGGCCTGGGTGTGAGATCGGTCGGTCTGTCTTCGACGCTTCACGTTCGACAAGCGCCAAGTCGCATCCTTCGCAAAGCTCTGGGTTTTCGGTTCTCCAGTTGGATCCGGTTTTCCATCACTAGGGGCATGGACGCTACGTGCCGGGGCTCCTGGCCTTACTAGGAGCAAGGACGCTAGGATCATGTGTTCCTGTCTTTCTTCTCCTTCGCCCGTCTCGTCTCGTTCTCTGTCGGGGTCCCCGACCCGTTCCTCGGTGCGAGGCCTCAGGCGGAGGTGCACGGTTGGCCATCGGAAGGTAGGTCGGTTGGCGATCGCTCAGGGCCCGACGCCTGCAGCAAGGAGGCGCACCCATAGCCATGGTCCGGCTGGACCTGATGGAAGGCAGTTCCTTCAACTGGCCGTTGACACAGGCCAACTCCCAGGTTGAAAGCGCTGAAGGTTGTGGGAGGTTGAGGACATGGAATCCTAGGAGGCTATTTCTTGCACCACTGAAATAAAACAATCATTTTCAGGTCATCGCAACTATTCACAGTCTTAGACTCCCACAGTCTGCATCCAGGGCTTAGTTTTCCTTTCCAAATACCCCTTTAAAGGCGGCAAACATGCTGGCAGTGTCGAAATCTTCTTGGAATCCTGCAAGCGTCGCCTGCTGAAACTCGCATCATGTCTTCAGCTTTTCTATGTTTCTTTCGCTGATCGGGTCAGAACACCGAGAAACTGGGCTCATCTTCGACATCGAACCCCCCATGCCGCCCCACCCCACCCACCTGCGCCGGTTTCGTTGCGCGGGTCGTGCGTGCGGTTTTTGGTCCATCGCTACTAGGAACAAGTGCATCGCTACTAGGAACAAGAAGCTACTAGGTTGGAGGCCATCGCTATTAGGTTGGAGGCCATTACTACTAGTAGCAAGAAGCTACTAGCAGCGATGCACTTGCTACTAGTAGCTTCTTGTTACTAGGTTCCGAAAAAACACACCAACGATGTAGCCAGAGTTCGACTCTTGTGTCTGTGAACATTAGAAGGGTATTGAAAACAGTGGGTGAGGCTGCGGGGAGTTCTCCAGGATTCCGAAGATGTCAAATTCAAGTTGAGTAGAAACCTACTCGACCTAAAGCTGATTTGCCTCCAAGTTGGACATCACTCCCCTCTCTTCTCTTGGCCACCTCTCAACAAAAACCCTGCAACCTTCCAGCTAAAATCTTTCATAGCTTGCCACCGAGACAGCTGCACGAACGTGCGTCCATCAACGGAACGCGGGCCTTTGGCGCGTCGACGGATGACGCAAGGAAGCGCCAACGTTTCGTGCTGGGTTCCGCGACGTTGAGGCTGAGAACCTGGGAGCATGTGAAGAAGGGGGCTTGGCAAAAATTGCAGAGTACATTCCCTGAAATCATCTTGGAAGTACCACCTGTTCGTAGAGCGAGGATGTCTTGTATGAAACGCTCGTTTTGAAGACTTGGCGCGTGACTTTTGAAGGATATCTCGCGCGCAAGTGTGTCCCAGAGAGTGTCCGTTTGGCTGTCTGTTTTCGAGTGCGTGTGTGCGCATTCGGGTTCGGGGACTCCATTGTTTTTTTGTGGAACCCAGAAAACATCTGATGACATCTGGAACTGAACAAACACCTCTTGAAAAATGATTGAACAATTTACATGCCAATCAATTTTTGGAAACATGAAGAAACACTTGGAAATACATGGGCTGCACATTGTTTTTTCATGGGTTCCACTCAATGTTCTGGGCTCCACTGGGTTCCCCAGGCAGTGCGGCCCATCTGGATAGACACGGCTTCCGGCCTCAGAACGACGAGCGCGTTTGTCGTCGTTTTGGGTGCTTGCGACAGCTCATTGTCTCCCCTGTGCGCAACGTGCAAAGGCTAAAAGCAAAGAGCGGAAGGACATGTTTTGACCCAATTTGTTTGGTGGCAAGTGGCATGAACAATTGTGCACATTTTTTGATTACATCTTTGGCACGATCTCCAGGCAGCTCATTGATGATCCAACCATGTGGAACGAACTAACAGGGTGGTGGGTAAGCGCAGGTAACTCACAATATAATAAGCCCTTGGATGAACACGCAAAAAGTTCAACTAAAAATTGCCTAATTACCACAACCAAATCTCCACTGGAACCATACAATTTCAACCAGCCACATGCATACGCACACAAAAAATTTTGAACTACGACGCAGTTGTGACTGTGAGTTACACATGAACCAAACATTGTGGGGAAGTTGCGATTACACACAGGCATCAACATTGACCCGCAACGGCACACACACGACGTGAACTTTGGCCAATACATGCCGCCGTGCAAAAGGGGAACTCTTCCACACTTCTAAGGTGACCAGTGCTACTCCCAACGGTGACTACCTCACCGTGAGTGCATTCAATCGAACCTCACCACCGCTTTGAGCCCCCCATTTCTGCATTGGAGCCCGAACAGGTTCCACTCCCCCATATGAGCGTTGCTTGGTAAGAAAGGAGCCCAGCCAGCTCCAAACAAAGTAGCTCAACTCAAACGTCAAGTGCCTCATGAAAGTGATGGCCAGCCGAGGCCTACAAAGGCTGCCAACCTCATCGAAGCCCGTTAAGACAATATCTCTGAAGCGCTGCCCCGGCAAAGTGAAAGTTTGTGCGGCGCGTCGCAAGGTACGGCAAGTGGCGATCAAAAGAGCGTTATCGGTGGCTTTTGGGGGTCCTCTCTTGGACGGGCAGCTCAGCTGCGCGTGCCACGATGCTTTTGCAACTATCCACGCCAAGCAACAGACTCAATAGACTTGAATGCACCTATCCTCCGCGCTGTTGCAGCAACATTGTGCACAAGGCACAAGGCTGCAAACACGCTTGTGTTGTGGTTGTGGAGCCATTTTCATCACAGATTGGTGTAGTCGGGTTCGGGTTACACGAATCCCTTTCCAAGCTTCCTGTGCCTCAAATAGCACAAGAAAGAGAGAAACAAGTCAGCAGAACATGACGGGCTTCCACGCTCCAGCAGCCGAGCCTTTTTCATGGCGACTAGTGTGCCGAACTTGGAGTCGTTGTCCTCAGGAAAGCTGAGACAACCCCCTTACACCACCCGCAAGCTGTGCACTGAGCATGGTTGAAAAACATCAGCCCAAGAGCAGTGCATCATGCAAGTATGAAACAATAATGAAATTATGCCAGCGTAAACCCCAAACAGTTTCAAGTTTCCGCATTACTTTTTCTGCAACCCCGTTGAACTCCCATGTTCACTTGTTTGTGGTAGCGTTACATTCCGATAGCCTCCAGCTGCAGCTGTTTGCGATTGGCATGCAAACAACAAATGTTTGAAACCAGCAGTTCCTGATTCCCGGGTCACATATGCAAAGACCAAGGGACACATGTCACGAGAACATCCGAGGATGGTATCAAATTTGAAACGTGTATCACCGTTGCATTCATAGCCACACAAGAAAGGCGGAGAAGAAAGATTTGCTCGGCCCACGGCGTGGCCAAGCAGGACACACAGACTGGACAAGGCTTGGACAAGACGGCGCGGCCAAGCGGACCCGGACAAAGCCTGCATCCGACAAGGCTTGGACAAGCCCCGGGCCCATCGGAAAAGAAAGCCCACAGCGTGGAAAAGCCGCGCGCCCACAGCTATCATTCAGAGAGAACCCTATCAGTAGTGATGGCCTCCAACCTAATGGCCATGGCCTCCAACAAATTGTGGGGAAGTGCATCGCTAGTAGTAACAAGTGCCTTACTAGTAGTAACAAGAAGCTTAGCTTATTGTTTCTACTAGCTTCTTGTTACTACTAGTAAGGCACTTGTTACTACTAGCGATGCACTTGTTACTAATAAGAGGAGGACAGAGGGTTCAGGCCATGCCTGAGGACAGGGGAGGAAGACGACACCCGGACACGCCCACAGGGCCGCGGCAGACTGTGGCCAGACCTGTCGGGACGCAGAGCTCGCAGGACACAGGGTTCGCCGCAGGACAACAGGAGACAAGCAAAACACAGGCTTCGCTTTCGCGCTGGAGACGAACAGGACAAGGGTTTGCCGCCAGAGTTGAGGACAGCAGGACAACAGCACAACTGGAGGGACAAGAAGAGGACAGGAGCACACCCGGGCGCGGCCTAAGGCTGTGGTCAGTGTCCTTTTATGTCCTTTTTCCTAAGAGAGAATGAGTAAAATCTTTGGGGAGTAATGTTTGGGGAGCTTTTGCGCTTTGTGCCGCGCACAGCTTTCCTCGGAATGTCCATGGATTAGAGGCCATCGCTAGTCAGTTGGAGGCCAACTCTTCGAACTCGACCTCACCAGAACGAACCTCCCGGGTTGAACCGGCCACTTCCCGCGCTTCGCCCGACTTCCCGTTCGCCCGACCTCCAAGACGAAGCTCCCTTGGTTGAAACGGATCATCGCATGACAACCTGGACCGAATCTGCTGGCCCAGCGGTGAACGGAAAACGAAAAGGATCAAACAGCATGGAGAACCGGAAACAGCATGGTTTGCTCCCAGTAGCTTCTTGTTCCTAGTAGTAAGGCCAGGAGCCCCTAGTAGCGTCCTTGCTCCTAGTAGTTTTTGAATTGGATTTCATCCCTGATATCCAATGTATCGTGAGAAATTCAGTGAGAAACACAGAAACACATCCACCTGAGGGGTGGTATGCTTCTCGGCATTTCGTGATCTGGATGTGCTTGAACCCTACAAGACCACAAGAGGATCTTGAATCACATTGCGGTGCATCCTTCATTTGGTTCAAGAGAACATGCTGGTGCTTTGGAGGCATCGCTATTAGGTCGGAGATTATTAGGTTTATTAAACTATAGACATATATATATATATATTCTTTTTTTCCACCGTCTGTGCACACCTTGCCGAGACCGCCAAGACCCCCCACGGGAAATGGACACGTCCGCAATCCGCACATCGCTCTCGTGTCCGCGGCCAAGTTTCAGAACCTGCACGGGGCCGATGGACACGCCGCTACTAGGAGCAAAGGGCATCGCTACTAGTAACAAGAAGCTACTAGGGGCTCCTGGCATCGCTACGAACGGAGCAAGAACGCTACTAGGATTTACATCTGAAGATTTTCAACTCGTCGTTTCGAGAACACTACTTCAGAAAGAAGGGCAACTCTAGGCCGGACCAACTTGGCCGCTACCGAGCAAAGGCGGCTTGTAGACATCGTTTGTTGTTTGTAGGGCACCGTGGTGTGCAAGAGCTCCCGGCATTTCAGGAGTATTCTGAGTATTCCTCGTTTTTCCAAGATTTTGTGATGTTCTATCTTTGGTCCTTTCATGTCCTTTCTACCAATCAGGCCTTTCCTTTCTTTATTGTTTCTTCCCCTTCCACAGGTCGGTGGCCAGCTGTTTCCACATCACCTTGTGAGCGGCCTCGGTGGCTCCCCGCCTTGTCTGCCAAAGAGATCACGTGTAACCCGCGAGAGGCATGCTGCTGCGAGTCTCTGACCTGGACGTGCATCGCTACTAGGAACAAAGAAGCTACTACGGGCTCCTGGCCTTACTAGTAGTAACAACAAGCTAGTAGTAACAAGTGCCACGCTACTAGGAGCGTTCGGACGCTACGAACGGGGCTCCTGGCATCGCTACGAACGGGGCATTCTTACTAGGACACCGGTCCACGGCCCACAGACCGAACCAACGGACCGAGCAGCCACGTTGGCGTCACGCAGAGGTGGAGGCCATCGCTCGTAGGGTGGAGGCCGCTACGAACCTAGCGTCTTGCGATGGCCTCCGCCGTGCGTCGCGTCCTTGCTACTAGTATCATATATACTAAGGTCTTTAGATTGGTCTTTAGGACTTTCCTTGACTTCGGTGCCGTTGTCGAACTGGACTCCTAGGGCTCCCCCTCGGGGTGGAGTTGCTGGGAACTCAGATCATCCACGTCTCCAGTATCCGTGCCCTCTTCTTGCCGCTCTCAGGGCGAACGACTCAAAAGATAGTAATAGCGATGCCCTTTGCTCCTAGTAGCGATGCACTTGTTCCAAATAGCTTCTTGTTACTACTAGTAAGGCACTTGTTACTAGTAGCGATGCCCTTTGCTCGGTTCGTAGCTTCTTGTTCCTAGTAGCTATGCCAGGAGCCCCGTTCGTAGCGTCCGAACGCTCCTAGTAGTACGGCCAGGAGCGCCCCTAGTAGCGTCCTCTTGTTCCTAAGAGCGATGGCCTCCACCTAGTAGCTTCGAACCCGTCTGGGTGGCGAACCAAATTCTCTAGGACGATGAAGGGCGGCGTTGTTCGCGGCACCTGGTGGGCAAGCCACGGAACTCCAATGTGACAAGGAACGCCCCATCAGGTTAAACCAACATTTGCATCGTCATATCCCAGGGATTAAAGTGTCTGAAGGATTTTCCTGTTTCCCTGTTAAACGCTGTTTCTGAGCCCTCCTAGCTTTACCTTTCGTGCGCCCAACACATCTCGCTCGCTCAGCCTCCACCAGGGGCACTCGCTCGGTGCTCGAGTTGGTCACATATGTTGGATAGATCGCCTTCCGCCGTTCGGACGACCCCCACCGCCGGCGGATGCTTCGTGTTTTCCGCACGGGACAGGGGACAGCGGGAGGGTCCGAGGAAGGATGTGTACCATGAATGTTCTGAGAGTGATTCCGGAAGTCCCAACACAGGACCGGCAGGCGTTGCAGACTTTGACAAATGTTTCTCTCTTCGGTGCTTAGTGCTTGGACACAGGCCAACTCCACTTGGTTATGTTGTGCTCTTACGCAATGCTTTCCACACAGGATACATTGCAATAACATTTGGCTCAAGGTGCTGTGTGCTAAAAAAAAACGAACTTGTGGCACTTCCTTCCGTTTGCTCTTGTGGCATTAGTCGCCTTGTAGGCCTGATCCGGGGTTCTTGACATACACCGCACCACTGCGGGGAATTTGGTCATCCGGTGGCCGGTGGAGCTTTGCTCCAAAAAGCCGAACTACTTCAGTGCACCGTAGTTCGTAGAGCAGCTACAGTCGACGCACAATGAGCAAGATGGTGAAACAAATCTATCCAGAAGCGGTGGTCCAAAAAGAAGCTCATGGGATCTTATAATTTGTAGGAGTCCTTGTTGCTTGGTTTCTTGGATTTTTGGGGTCATAAGACGTAGTAATCACACTTGCCCTCAAGCGGGTTTGTGGTCCCTCTGCTCAGCTCGAGGCCGGTGCTCGGCCGGCCAACCGCCCCCCTCGTCATGCTTCACCTCATGATTCGCCGCTCGCTCTCTTTGGGGAGTTTCGGGCGATGGTGCAAACCAGCGAACACGGGCGAAGACTGATGCGAACACTGGCCAACCATGGACGTTCCGCCTTGCAAAGTTCACAGGCCAAGGGCCTGTAGAAGTAGCTGCCTGCAAGTCGGCTGGCAAATCGGATGCTGTTCTCTCACAAAAAAGGATTGGACCCACCGTCAACAACGAATCCTTCAAACTGCGATTCATCAAGTCCTCAGGAAAACGGCGCCCAGGAATCCGCCTCCACTGGTACTGTCCGTGATGTTCAAGCGGCCGCGAATCCAATAACGGAGGCAGCCCAAGTGCACAAACCTTGGACCACTGCAGCTGACTGATGCCCTTACAAAATGTGCACATGCTACTGACTGCTAGCTGTGACACACACACACACACAAACACAAAAACAAACACCAACACGGTTTTCCATGTTGCCGTGGCCCCTCTCCACGAACTTTAACTGTCTGTTGGGACATCTCACGAAAAAGATCTAGGAGCACTTCCAGGAATCTCTCCGAAAGCTGTCTTCCGAAAGATCCTTTTCCATGGACCGCGGAGAAGAAACCCAACAAGCGAAGAACGACCAACCCCTGGGCAGCCCCCACTCGATCGAGCCCTTGCAAAGGCAAGGGGTGATCAACGGGTCTTCCTGCAAATCGGCCCAGAACCCGAACAGAATGCCAAAAAGGACACCATTGACTAAGCTTTAGGGCCTTTAGGGGTTGCTTTCTGTTGCAAAAAATCCACAAACTTTGCAAGTTGGCCAATAGTCTATTGACAATTGACAATGAGACATCGCTAGTAGGTTGAAGGCTATCGCTATTAGCAACTCAAAAGAAGACAGTGTCTTCTTTTTTAAAGACTCTAATTTGAAGTGTCACACGATGAGACACAAGTCACACAAGTCCAAAGCTTGCCTCAGTCGAGCCCTCCAGCAAGCAGATTCGGCACAAGGTGGCCCTGCCGACCAGCCAGAGACGGGGGCTTCACTCATAGGGAGCATAATGGAACATCAACATTTCCTTCTAAAGGCCATTGCTACTAGGGTGGAGGCCATTGCTACTAGGTCCTAAGGAACAGCAGTTTGATGTGGACCGGTCTTTCGTGAGTTCAGTGGTTGGGAGGATTCTTTTTGAGAGTGGCACCCAGGTGGACAGGTAGCTTGATTGGCTCTGTCGGGGCCCTACTCCTTTGATGAGCCCCACATATCTTCCTTCAACCCGACATGGTCACTTACCCATCGCACAGGAACTTGGCCCACCCCCATGGCACACCGCGAGACAACCCAAACACCCAGTACTTCATTACCAAGGCTTGGCCTGTTGGCCTGTTTCATCCCATGGGCGGCGGCGAGCAGTATCGGTCGACCACTGAACGGTAACAGCACACGTTCCGAGCCACGGAACGGCTGGAAAGGAGGTGAAGGAGTTCAGCAACATGCTTTTTGGTGGGAAGGGACGATCGCTGATTGCTAGAGGAGAGCCACATTGCCACATTGACTGAGAAAAACTGGTGGCAAGGAGCCCACACATGGCTGTGAATGAGCTGGCCGTGGCAGGTGAGTGCTGCACAGAAGATTGATCAAGTGCCTTGCCTGCGCTTTGTGTTGTAAATGCTGCACAAGTACGTATTAGTCGCAGGGCCTGCTCCGGGCAGTTTGTACCTTTGAAACTCCTAGCCTTCAGTGCAGGACGTGATGAGGGTGTGCTGAGAGCGTGCGTACAGTGAAACGCAGGAAAGCGCCGAATGGCGCATGGCGTAAGAGAACGAAACAGGGTCGCAACGGCTTTCATCGGCTATTTCACCTTACTACTAGGAACAAGAAGCTACGTTCGGGGCTCCTGGCCTTACTACTAGGAGCGTTCGGACGCTACTAACGGGGCTCCTGGCATCGCTACTAGTAGCATTCTTACTACTAAGAACAAGAAACTTGTCATATTGTCACCTCAGCATTCTTGCTACTAGGAGCTTCTGGTCACTAGCAGTAAGGCCAGGAGCCCCGTTCGTAGCGTCAAAATGTCTGGGTTCCACGGACGTGAAGAACATCCGTCGAACATCCGTACGTCAACCGACCCGTCGAGCAAACATCGATCAACTATCGGCACCTCAGATCTACCCGGTGTTCCCGGTTTTTCTTTGTTTTGGATTGCTAGTAGGTTGGAGGCCATCGCAAATAGGTTGGTTTTCCTTTGTTTTGGATCTCGGGATATGACCCCAACCGCAGGTCTGCACTCGTCTTCGGTGTCCTCTCGGTGTCCTCTCGGCATCCGTTCGTCCGTTTTCGTCTCTGTTGGGCTGCCGGACGCAAGAGCTTCATGATCTAAGCTGGCCGGACAGCCTCAAAGGGGGACCCGATGGGAGCCGATTTGGTCACAAACCTCCGGGGGCATGAACGTCCAGGTTCATGCATTCTGTCAACCTTGCCTTGATGGAAAGGGTTTGTGCTTTGATGGGAAGTGTTCTTGTTGCTAAGTAAAAGGTGAGTCAGGCACCCCCCATTTTGGGGTGGAATCTGCAGTGGTGAACTATAGAGATCTTCAAGAGATGCTTCGAGCAAACCAAACAAGATCAATATCAATTAGACCTGATTTAACAAGAAACTACTAGGGGCTCCTGGCCTTTCTACTAGGAGCAAGGACGCTACTAGGGGCTCCTGGGAATACTACTAGTTGCATTCTTACTACTAGGAACAAGAAGCTACTAGGAACAAGTGCCACGCTAGTAGGAACAAGTGC